AGCGGATGTCTAATAAAACTCTCGGTTTAACGGATCAAAGCTCAGAACCGTCTATAAGTAAATTCTCTCGGTTTAACAGATTTACTAATTAAATCTTGAATTAATCTTGGTATAATGGATTTTTGAAATTTTTGTTCTAATTGCCTAAATTATCCGCTATACCGAGACTCACTGTGTATAATTATTTCATTTTAAAAGATACATTTACAATGGAATCATTGATGTCAATAATCTTGATACATATTAAATTCTTGAACTTCTTGAAACATGTGATGAATTAAGCTTTAATAAATTGATTGAGGATTTGCAATTTTATTTAATCACTGAAAAAAAAGAATGGTTTAAACAAAATTTACCCATGTTTATCAATTTTTATTACAATATCAATTATGCTTCAAGAGTGTTGTAATGAATTAATTGGTTATAAGCCTGAATTATTGTTTAAGCTTGATGATTTCAAGTCTATTGAAAAATCAATACTTGTATTTATATTAGAAAAAGATGATTTTAGGATTAGATGAAATTAATATCTGGGATTATGTTATTCAATAGGGAGTTGGACAAATTGAAAATATGGAAGAAAAAAGAAGAAAAGCAATTGAATCAGAACAACTCTCATTAAAACATAAAAAACAAAAACAACCCCTTTCAATAGAAGAAAATATTTCAGAATGGAACAAAAATAATATAATTGAATTGAAAACTCTTTTGAGGGATGTTATCCCACTAATAAGATTTGATCTAATTCCTTCAAGTGATTTTAATAAAAAAGTCCAACCTTACAATGAGGTTGTTGGTAAAGAATTTTATAAGGAACTTATTTAATATATCATCATAATAATGAATGGCAACCAATACTATTTCATCTAAAAGGACCAAGAATAGGAAGAGGAAAATTATTAAGTTTTGAATGAATGAAATCTCTAATTTCTAATTGGATTGGTACAACATGTGACTTAAATAATGCAAATAACTTGCCACATGAATTTGATTTGATTTTCAGTAGATCCCAAGATGTATTTCAAATTTTATTGATAAATTGTTATAATGTTGAACAAACAGTTGCTGTCATGAAAATTAAAGAAACAGGGGAATTGGCTACCCAATTTAATACTCAATAGAAAAGAATCAATTCTATTATAGATATTGCTTTAGCAGAAAGAAATAATATTTATCATGATATTCAAAAATCAATCAAAAATATGGAATGTTTTACTTTGTCAAATCTTTTAACCTATTCTCCTACAAAATGGCTCGAAGAACAGAATCCTGTTGTAGTTAAATTTATTGAAATACTTACAAATAATGAATATAATGATCAAAGTGAACAAATGCAAGAAGAAAATTTTTTTAAACGTGCTGTAGCACTGGAGGCAATTTATGGCTCAAGAAATTGTATGTTTCTGCAATAAATCTTGCCACATCTGCTATCAAATATTCATTGACAAGGTCAAAAATGATAGTAGATATAGATAATCACATAATGAGTTCTGGTAGCTATTCAAAATTTGTTAATTGGTTGGAGAGCTTAGTAATTGAACCTGAACCTTTGCCAGATGGATTTTTAATTTTAGCTTTTGACAATGAACAAAGAGGTCAAAAAAATTATTTAGATTGTGGCAACAATTCAGTTATTTTTCATGTGGTTACTAGCTTTGTTGCTTTTAATTTCAATCCACATGATAATAGCCAGTTGACAACAAATCCTTGGAAAAGTGATTCGCTTACTTCAGATGAAATTGAACAATTATTAGACATAGATGATGATATGCAAAAGAATTTGAGTTAGAGCTTTGTAATTTTATTGGTGACATAATAAGTAATTTGTGTAATGAAAAATACATGATTTTAATTGGACCAGCTTGTTGATAATCAAAATAATCTTCCTAACAAAATTAAAATATGTCTTAATTGTTTTGAAAAAAATAAAAAAAGAAATTGTCCAAATTGTAATGAGAAGCTACCAACCCTTGATTCATTAAATTTAAACCAAACTTCTCAACAACCATCTGAGAGTGCATCTTCAAATAAAGAAATAATTTTCAGACATCACTCAATAAAAAATCTGAACATGATGCTCAAAAATCTAAACTTAGCATAACACAAAGACTTATACCAGACAAAGGAGTAGAAGTTCCAGACATTTACATTCCAGATCCAATACCTGTAAATCCAAATTCATTAAAAAATGTTGAAATTGTATTAAAACATATAGAAAACATTACAGGAATCAAATCAGGGAAATGTAAATGGGTACCTGTTGTATGTGATGGTGTGTCTTATAACCTTGCACTGAAATTGAGAAATGATTTCCCTTGGATAATTTTACTTCCTGGAGCTCTACATGAAGAAATGAATATGCTTAAAGCATTTGTAGAATTAAATTGGTAAAAATTTTTAAATTTTAGATTGCATTATTATTTGAAAAAAAAAGAAAATAAACTAATTACTTATATTATATATAAAGGGAAATAGATATTAAATCATTTGCCAAATGTCAAGGTTACAACAAATCAGAAAAACAATTAGATTTTTTCAGAAAATGCATTGATTTTCATAAATCTTGGGACTCTATATGTAACATTTATTGTCATTCAACAGCTTCTGAGTTGATCTGGCTTTACATTAAAAATGAAGAAAATCCAACTGTTGATGGTTATCTTGAATGGTCCAAAACTCAAACAAATGAAATCTATAAACTTAAATTTGAGCAAATTAAGTTTTAATTATATTTTTCAATGAATTAATCTAATAAAAAAATTAGTAAATAATGCTGATTGTATTTATTTACATTAGACTTTTATTTACCTGCAAGCAATTATAAACTTTCACATTGGTGTAAGAACAAACAATCCCTTGCTACAAAATGCAGCTAGATGTCAATTTGCACCAGTATGGTCTGCTCATAGACATCCAATCTATAAATTATTGGAAGTATCACATGAAGCACTTTTGTCATGTTTAAAACCTTCAGTTAGAAAAAACATTGAAAAGGCATCAGTAGTTTCTAGGTCTGTACTTTGGAATCAACATCAAGGCCTTGATGCAATATTAGAAGAATTCAATAAATCATTAAAATCTATGATTCCTCCAGTACCTTCTCAACATCATTGGGAAATTGCAGCAAGAAATTGCAAAAATTTCATGAAGGTAAGTATAGTTCACTTTCTCTATAATAGATCTTTCTATAATAAATCTTGCTCTATAATGGACTGAGAATTTAAGCCCAATTTATATGTCCCACATTAACATATAATCTATGATTCCAAATGGTCCATTATAGAGTAAACTGTAATTTAAACCAAATTAATTCTAATAGTTTAATAGCTATGTACCAATCTTTTTAATATGATTGGATTTAAGGAAAGAGAAAGTTTGGGAACATGAAAAATACCTGATTTTAGTGCTGAATCACAACATTTTAGAGTAGAACTGAGAAAGAACCAGTTTTTCACAAGAAGCCATTTTAGGAATTTGAAAGATGATGTTATTTTGAGTGAAAAAATGAAAATTTTTAGTCATCTTGCAAAGAAAAAAGGAATATATTGTTGAAAGAAATCTTATTGCAAGGAGCTTCTACTAATACCTGGCATCCCTTCCTGAAACATTACGACCAAAATATAGTAGTTTGAATAATAAAACAAAGGGAAACTTATTAATAATTTTGCAAGAATTAAGAAATATATATGATACTGTTGAAACAGTTGATTATTAATAATAATAAAATAAAATTGCAGATCAAAAAGAATTTTCTGGATTTTTTCTATTCTGTAGATCCCTACTTTTAAGGAAAATCCATTTCGGGGAATAATCCTGACTGAAGTATTTCATTACTTCTTTGTATAATTCTGGTTATTATTGATTCATTCACCCTAACTCCCCACTTTTGCTCAATCCAATTAATATATTCTTTTCTTGTTAATTTATTGTCACGAGTATACATGCAGCCCAAATTGGTTTGGTGATTTTGATGGTAGAAAATAGAAATTAATTATGGCATTCACTATTAAAAACATAAGTGTAACACCCCTTTACTACATGTGTAACCCCCTTTATGACAGTGTCAAAATACTTTGGCTGCATGTATAGTCACGAGCATATAAACAGAATTCATATTTTTGGGAATTATTTAAAGATACTTTGTTTTTTGAAGACATTTGAGTAATGGGATTCAATAAATACTTGAAAGTTAATAAGGATGATAATAAATAGAGAGTAATGGATAAATGTACAAAAAAAGTAATATTATTACAATTATCAGTTTATGGATTAAAAGATTAAAAATATCAAGAGGAAAGTTTTGATTTATTGACTTAGACATTTAAATCCCTCTTTATTTATAACAATTCAACCGTATTCAAAAGTTACATCAACATACCCTTATTTTAATAATTCTTTGTATTTATTGAAGATAAAGGATTAATTAATTCTTTATAAATTAATTATAAAGAAATTACAAAGCAATAATTTTGTTGTAAAATTACAAAGCTATAAAATAAAAATAAATAATTTCATTGTAAAATTACAAAAATAAATAATTTCATTGTAAAATTACTAAGTGTATAACATAATAAAATTCCTTGACCTTGACTATGAGTTAACAACAAAGAAAATATAATGAATAATGAATTGTTTGCTTCTACATTTATATCTTTATAAAATTACAAATAAAAAAATAAATAAAGAAAAAAATTTAATGCAACAAATTACTTTTTACACAAAAGTCACGTGAGGTGCATTTATGGAGGGAATTTCATATGAGTGGGACTGGAAAAATACCACACAGTGCAGAATATAGAGGGTGTGCATTTATCACTAAGTCCCGAGGTTGGGACCAAGACATAGCATGCATTTATGGAGGTCTGACTGTATATCTGTATTTTATTAGCAATAAGATAATTTATAAATTATCTTTATTATTTCCATATGCTTGTATGTTTACAAATATTCAACTATATTTTAAAAGGAGAGAAAAGTCTCCAAAAACTGTTGGTATTTGTTGGAACAGGGATTATATGAACCATTGCAAATTAGAATCCAATCAATAATAAGAGACTTTTGTCCAAATGAAATTGAGTCTACCGATCCTCTTGCATCATCAATAATTGACACCATTAGCCCTCACTCTTGGTTCAAATCTCAATTTACAATGGAAGAATGGGAATTAATGAAAAATACAGTTAATACTGTGAGATAGTAAAATAAGGACGACATAGAGGTCCCGCGTTGCCGATCAAACCAAACCAAATTACTGCGGAAGTCACGTGATAATGATATCATTTCTATTTTTAACTTATTTTATGACATAATTATTTACTTCGAATTATTAATTCAATTATTTGTAATAATGACTCATAGGATTAGTCATTATGAGTCATAGCATGGTGGACATTCGTATAATTGGTAATGATTTTCGTCGATCATATCACACAAAAAAGAAAATTTGATTGGCCC